TACACCAGGAACGCAGACCTCCTGGTTCAGACAGAACTGACAGGTCCTCAATTAGGTCTGTTGTAAACCCCGCCTACCTCCCTCTGCCTTGTGTATATAAGAAAGTGCTCTGGTCCTCAATAAACCAGCGAAACCTTCATACCATCAAGAGCTGTGACACTGTGTGAGCTGTGATACTTCTTTCGCTCCCGTGTTGAGACGCTGCTCCGGTTCCAGACCTCCGCCCCCTCGCTCGAGTTCCCTGCCCAATTCGTCCCGCAGGCCGGGACAGACCTCATTCTGTAGAAGACATTGAAACAAAATGCAAGCAAGTATTAAAAAAGCACATTGAACAGTCCTGGGCCCTGCTGGCAAACGATGCCCAAATATGGGGAGAGAGGAAAAGGAGGGAAGAAATACAGCCCGTACTGAGGACCATCTGCAATCCAGACTGAGCCTTGTTTCCATCTCAGTCTCCTTCCCTGATTGGCCACCCACCTCCCGTTCAGGCTGGAAGCAACCTTATCTTTAAGCACTTTCTTTTGACTTGTGATTCAGTTACATTTTGCTCTCTATCACTTGTACATTTGTCTCACATTTTGACCATGTTAAAAAAAATAAAAGCTCTCTCCAATATTATATTTGCTGGTAAAATGGTGGGAGCTTTCTCTTTGAAAGATTGGGTATTTTAGGGGATCAAGGAAGGGCAGTAAGGAGGTTCATTTCTACAAACTCCCCACTAAATGGAAATCATGTTGACCTCTTTGACCCTGGTCTAGGTAATTTTTGGGGAAATATGTGTTTGGATGTGGTGAAAGGCAGAAAAAAAGTAGTGTCACAAGATTCCTAGGGGAATTTTTTCCTCCTAGGGGCAGAGAAAGGCAGAGTGGATAGGAGAGGTTGAAGGTGGTAAGAGGTGGGCATTTCTGCTCCTACGGTACCAGCTTCTACAGCCCTTCAGTTCCCTTCAACAGCTATAAATCGACTTCTTTTTTAAGAGAGATTTTTGCTATAAGGCTCTGGAAAGAGAGAGAGAGAAGAGAGGAGAGAAAGAGAGAGAAAGTGAGAAATCACTCCTCCACCCCAGGGGGAATGGCCATGCTGGAATTCTCCTCTGGGGATTCCAAGAAGCTGGGACACACACCAGGTTTGTTTCAAGCCACCGGGTAGGGGATTCAAACCTGGGTCACCTACGTGGGAGTCCAGTGACACAACCATTACACCATCTGCTGACCCCTATAAATCGACTTAAAACTTATTTAATTCCTTTTGTCATTATTTTTTAATTTGACCAGAGAAAGAAAGGAAAAGAGAGAAAGCCAGCTACCAGGTCCGGGACTCGCACCGCTGTCAGCCATGGGGGAACCCAGCTCTTTAACTACCACGCCACCTGCCGGACCAAATAAATGGACTTTTTATTTTTTTATTTTTTTATTTAAGGTTTTTGCTATAGGGTGCTCGTGCTAGCTAGAAAGAGAGACAGAGAGACAGAAAGCAAGAAATCATCCCCTGGGGGGATGGCCACACTGCAGTCCCTTCTCCTCCATTCTCCTCTCGGGATCTTGGGCACACAAGCACATGCGCCCGGCGTGAGTTTAAGCCACACGGTCCGGGACTTGAAACACGGTCAACTACGTGGGAGTCCAGCGACATAGCCATTACGCTAACTGCTGGTCCCAATCA